ACTTAAATATATTTAATATTTAATATACATAATATAAAATTTAATAAACTGAGACCCTAAGGGCGCTGTGAACTGAGTAAGTTTGGGAACCTCTATCATAATGAATTAAAAATGAAAACTATATATGGTCCACACAAAAGAAACAATATACATGTTCAGACAGAACAGATGAATATAAAAGGATGGAAAACACACCATGCAAAAACAAACCAAAAGAAAGCTGATTTGGCAAATGTGGCATTATGACAATCTTTATCTTGAAATTATCATTGCATGTGTATATTTAACATAATTATTGATATGTGGAGGAGTAAATCTATAATGTTATGATTTGTTTTCTATTTTTTATTTTATTTTTTCACACTTTTTTTTTTTGGTGAGGAAATTGTCCCTGTGCTAACATCTGTGCCAGTCTTCCTCTAATTTGTATGTAGGACCCCACCACAGCATGGCTTGACAAGCAGTGTGTAGGTAGGTCCACACCCGGGATCCAAACCCACAAACCCTGCGCTGCCGAAGTGGAGCACATCGAACTTAACCACTACGCCACCTGGCCGGGCCCTATTTGTTTTTTATTTGTCCTACAAATAAAGTAGACAAAGTAGAATTTGAGGCAAGAATCATTACTAGAGATAGAGAGATTTTCTATTGATAAAGGGTCAGTCTACCACAAAATATAATTTAAAAAATATATAAATTAAAAAATAGAATTAGAAAGAGAAATAAGACAAATGTACAATAAGATACAATATTTTAACACAATTACTTTAGTATTTGGTAGAATATGCAGAACCCCCCTAAAATCAGTAAGTATCTAGAAGATTTGAACAAATATGACTAACAGATTGGTCCTCACTGACATACCCAGAACACTGCACCTATTAGCACAGACAAACATTTTTTACAAATAGATATGATACAGTTACCACGGTTGACCATATGCTGAGCCATAAAACAAGGCTCAATCAACTTCAAAAATTGATAATAAATATACAGCTTAAAAAATTTTTCAAACGGTAAATTATGCAGAACATTTCTAAATAAACCATGGGTCAATGAAGAAATCACAATGGTCATTACCAAAAATTTTGAAGTAAAAAAATGAAAATGTGACACATCAAATTTATGGAATGCAGCTAAATCTATGCTTAGAATAAAAATAGAAGTCTGAATGCTTATTTGAGAAATTATGAAAAGCTGAAAAAAAATCCAAGTAATTATCTCAAGAAATTTATTTTTAAAAAAAGAACAGTAAATAAACTCAAGAAAATAGAAATAAAGATAAAATAAAGATAAGAGCAAATAAATCAACAAAGCTAAAAGCTGGTTCTTTGAAAACTAATAAAAACGACCAATTGATCAACTGGTCTCAATGTACCCTCCATAATTTGAATTAATTCATAGGGAGTGTGGGGAGGAACAGAAGACTAAAAAAACACAGAGAAGACAGTTCCAAAACTCAAGTAAAACAATGATATTTTTCCAACAGATATTTCTTTTTGATTACATATTGTTTGACCCTAAATAGTATTTTTATTACTTTAACTTAAACCTACTAGGCCTTAAGGGGAAGTAGCTGAGTCTAATATTTAATTCAAAATATACATTTCTAAATATGTGCTTTCATAAAGTAAAGTATAGCTTTAGTTGTTAAGCTTTGTATTCAAAGCATGTGCTGAAATTTCCTTGTGCTGAAATAACTGACTTGGCAACAGACTTCCAACAGTGGTGACTGCTGCTGAAGGCCAGAGAAGAGGCTTACAGTCCTGCTAGGGCTGGGTGGACCACTGAGTGTGAAGATGGATGATGAAATGCATGAGTGCATCTTATTACACAAGAGAATGATAAATGAGAATGGGATAGATGAAGCCGGAGCACAGGACTTCCTGACTGACTAAAATTTGAAACTACTAATTAGTTTCCCTTCAATGAAAGACTGTGTGTGTGTGTGTGTGTGTGTGTGTGTGTATCCATATCCAAATTGCCAGCATCACTGCTCTTGCACTTTGGAGCCATTGTTAAGTAAAATAAGGGTTACTTGAACACAAGCACTGTAATACTGTGACAGTTAATCTGATAACTGATACAGCTACTAAGTGACTAATGGGCAGGTAGTGTATACAGTGTGGATGGACGCTGGACAGAGGGATGATTCACATCCCTGGCAGGACGAAGAGGGATGGTGCCAGAGGTTATTACACTACTCAAAATAGCATGCAATTTAAAATTTATGAATTATTTATTTCTGGAATTTTCCATTTAATATTTTAGGACCTCAGGTAACTGAAACCATGGAAAGTGAAACTGCAGATAAGGAGGGACTACTGTATATATAATCTTAATTGCCTTCAAAATAGCAGGGACTTTAAATGTGTAGATGCTGATTTTAAAAGCTCATTTCTAAGGCTGCTACTAAGGGAAGCAATCCTTTCACCATGTTCAAGTGTTCTTTTTCTTCTTTGACCACATCTATAAAGCATACTGGAGACAAAGATGAAGTGGAATAGAAGTTTCTCCATTAACTTTGACGTCTCTGTGGTCTTGGTCTCCAGGTCAGTGCAAAGCCCCGGAGTGGTTCCCATTTGCCAGGCCTACAACATTGAGTGAGGAGAACGAGTTTCCCATTGGGACGTCTTTTAAGTATGAATGCCGCCCTGGTTACTACAGGAGAGAGTTCTCTATCACCTGCCTAGAAAACTCGGTCTGGTCAAGTCCTAAGGACGTGTGTAAACGTAAGTAACTCTCAACTGAGAACTCCCCTGTGTCAGTCTAACATCCATAAGATCCATAAGATCTGAGTCAATTGTTCAAATTTTGGAACTAAGACACATGTGACTCGATAAGTTTGCCTAAGGCATAGTAGTTGTGAGAGTTATTCTTGTAGGTCATATCTTCCTATTGCTTTGAGTTCCTGACACCTTCGCTACAATTTCATTTCAAGGGAAATGACCATGATAAGACATGATTGTGGGAAAATCTCCATTCACTAGGGGTTTCCCATTTTCACAACTGAAACTAAGTAATGAATGACTCAGGAAAGGAAAGAAAAGTTCATTGAACAACTAGGTGGGGAGATAATCCCAGACCTCCAGACCTTTGATTTACACTGGATGAATTACAGAGAAAACACTTTGGTAATAAACAAAATTTACATTTTTCTGGGAGGCACAATATGGAGATGAGACAGATCAGGAGACGAGGTCTTTTTGGAAGTGATGCTTAGTAGGTGGCTGATCCCAAGGCAGTCTTGTCAGTTTCCTCAATGTTGCAAAATCTCTGGAACTGCAATACTCTTCAGTAAGCTACAGCCGGGTTGGGAAGGTACTAACAGAAGTTTGAAGTATTCTACACCCAGTCCCAAAACTCTGCTTCTTTCCCATAGGTAAATCATGTGGAACTCCTCCAGAACCCAAAAATGGCAAAATGGTCACAAACGGAGACATTCAGTTTGGATCAACTGTTAATTATCTTTGTAATGAAGGGTGAGTTTACAGTAGCACTGGGATGACAGTTCTAGAATCATAACACTAATCTCTAAACAATAGTCTTAGAAAGGAGAGTTAAACTACCTGTCTATTAAAAATATAGCAGTAGGTTTTCTAAGTAGATGTGGTAGCTTGAATCCAGTCATTTAAGTACCCTTGAAATGACAAAACAAAAATCTGAAAAATAGGAAAACCTGTACCCATGCTAGAAACTGGGGTGGGGGTGGGGGGACTATTGCACACCAAATTAATGCATCTAAAACCAAGTGAAGCATTCATTAGATGGGAGAGATCAGCTCTCTAAACAAGCAAATGAAACAAACATTAGTTGATCCACACATATACTGTCAAAGCAACAAGAGCTGGAGATGATGGGCTCAGGGAGACATGGGAAATAATGATTTGTTTGGATGATGGAGCAGATATGGTGGAATCTTAATTGTTACAGCACTTGTCCTCCAGAAGTGCATACAGTGCAGGAATCTTGCTGTGGGCATATTTTTGGCTTATTCTTGGGGGAGACAACCAATTTTGGAAAGAAGTGGGGAGACTGCTTCACCTTGTATCTTAACTTTTGCTTTATTTTTATTACTTATTGCTTACTTAAGATACATACAAAATATCATAAGTGAAAAATAAAAATTGCAGTAACAATAAGATCAACTTCAGAGTATACACCACCCACCTTAAGAAACATTACTAGTATTTTTGAAGCCTCCTGTATACCCTTCCCAATTCCCATTCCTCCACCTCCAAAATCTCTCCAGAAATAAACACCACCCTGAATTTTATGTTTTTCAGTCCCTTGCATTTCTTTTCCAATTTCCCCCATACATAGTCCTAATCAGTATATTTTTAGCTTTACATAGTTGAACTTTATATAAATGACATGATACTATATATACTTCTCTGCAACTTGCTTTTTTATTTCATAGTTTGGTTCTGACACTCATCCATGTAATTGTGGTTAATTCATTTTCACTTTAGATGGTATTCCCTTGAATAGATATGTCATGATTAATTTATTTGTTCTTGGTTGTTTGTTAGATATTTGGATTGTTTCTAGTTTGTTTTGCTTTGTTTTATTTTGGCTATTATAAGCATTCCTTGTACATATTTCCTAGTGCACATGTGTAAAAGCTTCTCTAGGACAGTGGTTTTCAAACATTTTACCATGATCCATAGCTAATAAATATATTTTACAACACATACACAAACACTCAAACACACACACATACACACACATCACACATCTATATAAATTAAAAGTGTCACAAAACTTCTTACCACTTGTATTCAACATTGTACTGGAGGTTTTAGCCAGGACAATTAGGCGACAAAAAGAAATAAAAGACATTCAGATTGGAAGGAAGAATTAAAACAATCTCTGTTTGCAAATGACATGTTTTGTATAGAAAATCCTAAGGAATGCATGCACACACACACACACCCCCACAACAAAAAACCTATTCCAGCTAATAAATAGTTCACCAATATTTCAGGATACAAGATCAATATACAAAAATAAATTGCATTTCTATACAATAACAATGAGCAAACTGAAAATGAAATTAGAAACAATTCCACTTATAATAGCATCAAAAAGAATAAAATACTTAGAAAAACTAAAGCAAAGAAGTGTTAGATTGTACATTGAAAATTACAAAACATTGTTGAAGCAGAATTTAAGAGGACTTAAATAAATGGAAAAACATCCCATGGTCTCAGGTTGGAAGACTTAATATTGTTAAAATTGCAACAATATTGATCTATAATATTGATTTCGCCAAATTGATCTACAGATTTAACATAATCCCTACAAGATCCCAGCATCCTTTTGCAGAAATCAACAAGCTGATCCTAAAATTCATATAAAAATGCAAGGCACCCAGACAGTGAAAACAATCTTAAAAAAGAAGAACTTCCCAATTTCAAAACCTACTATAAACCAACAGCAATCGAGAGTGTGTGGTACTGGCATAAGGACAGAGATATAGATCCATAAAATGGAATTGAGAATCCAAGTAAACCCATACATTTATGATAAACTGATTTTCAACAATGGTGCCAAGACAATTCAATGGTGAAAGAATAGTCTTTTCAACAACTGGTCCTGGGAAAACTGAGTAACCAAATGCAAAAGAATGAAGTAGGACTACCTCATACCATATACAAAAATTAACTCAGAACAGATCAAAGATCTAAATTAAGAACTAAAACTTTAAAACTCTGTAAAGAAAACATAGGTGTAAATCTTAGATAAACTTGGATTGGGCAATGATTTCTTCGGTTTAACACACAAAGCACAAGCAACTAAAGAAAAAATAGGCAAATTGGACTTCAACACAATTAAAAACTTTTGTGCTTCAAAGGATACCATCAAGAAAATGAAAAGGCAACTCATAGAATGGGATAAAATATTTGCATTTTATAAAAATCTCATATCCAGAATATATAAAAAGCTCTTACAGCTCAACAATAAAAAGATAGCCCAATTTTTAAAATGGGCGAAGTTTTTGAATAGACATTTTTCCAAAGAAAAAATACAAATGGCCAATAAGCACATAAAAGATACTCAACATCATTAGTCATTAAGGAAGTGCAAATCAAACCAATGAGATACCACTTCATAACCACTAAGATGGTTATAATCTTAAAGACAGACAATAACAAGCATAAGTGAGGATATGAAGAAATTGGAACACTCATACATTGCTAGTGGGAATGCAAAATGGTGCAGCTACTTTAGGAAACAGTTTAGCAGTTCCTCAAAAAGTTAAACATAGAGTTGGCATATTACCCAGCAATTCCACTCCTATATATATGCCTAAAAGAACTGAAAACATGTCAAATTCAGAATACTCTAATACTGTACTGGTTGTGCATAAACAATTTTTAATCGAGTATAAAAATAAAAGACAAAAGTATTAAAAATAACTATAGCTACAATAATTTGTTAATAGATACAAAATATAAAAAAATGTAAAGGGTAACATCAATAGCATAAAATGTGGGGAAGAAGTAGAAGCAAAAGAAGAAGTTCAATCAAACACATTTTTTTATTTGATTGAAGTTGTTATCAGCTTAAAATACACTGTTATAACTATAAGATATTTTATGTAAGCCTCATGGTAACCACAAAGAAAAACCTTTAGTAGATACACAAAAGATAAAGAGAAAGGAATCAGCCCATAACACTACAAAAAAAAATCAACAAATCACAAAGGAAGACAGCAAGAGAGGAAGAAGAAAACAAAGGAACTACAAAACAGTCAGAAAAAAAATTAATAAAATGGCAATAGTAAGTCCATACCTATTAATAATTTATTTAAATGTAAATGAGTTAAATTCTCCAATCAAAGACACAGAGTAGATGACTGAATTTAAAAAAACAAAACAAGATCCAGCAATATGCTGCCTACAAGAGACTCACTCTAGCTTTAAGGATACACATAGGCTGAAAGTGAAGAGATGGAAAAAGGTATTCCACACAAATGGTAACTGAAAGAGAGCAGAGGTTGCTATAATAATATCAGATAAAATAGACTTTCAGTCAAAATCTGTCACAAGAGTCACATAAGGTCACTATATAAACATAAACTGGTCAATTTATCAAGAGGATATAACAATACTAAATATGTATGCACCCAACATTGGAACACCTAACTATATAAAGCAAATATTAACAGAACTGAAGGAAGAAATAGACAGTAGTACAATAATAGTAAGGAACTTCAATACCACACTTTCAACAATGGATAGATCATCCAGACAGAAAATCAATAAGGAAACAGTGGTCATGAATAACACTATAGAACAAATGGACCTAATAAATATAATACAGAACATTCCATCCAACAGTAGCAGAATACATTTTCTCAAGCACATATGGAACATTCTCCAGGATGCATCGTATGTTGGACAACAAAACAAGTCCTAACAAATTTAATACTGAAATCATATCAAGTATCTTTTCCAACCACAATGGTATGAAACTAGAAATCAATAACAGCCGGGAAATTGGAAAACTCACAAATATGTGGAAATTAAACACACTTCTGAACAACCAAAAAGTTGTTGAAAAAGAAATAAAAAAAATAGAAATCAAAAAGTATGTTGAGATAAATGAAAGTGGAAGCAAAACATATCAAAACGTATGGAATCCAGCAAAAGCAGTTCTAAGAGTGATGTTTATAGTAATAAATGCCTACATTAAGAAAAAAGAAAGATCTCAAATAGACAACCTAACTTTACACCTCAGGGAACTAGAAAAAGAAGAATAAACCAAGTCCAAAGTTATCAGAAGGAAAGAAATAACAAAGACCAGAGTAGAAACAAATGAAATAGAAACCAGAAAAAACAATAGAAAAACTCAACAAAACTAAGAATTGATTTTTAAAAAGATAAACAAAATAGACAAACCGGCAGCTAGACTTACCAAGAAAAAAAAAAAGAGAGTATTCAAATAAATAAAATTATAAACAAAAGAGGAAACATTACAACTAATATCACAGAAATGCAATGGATCATAAGAGACTACTATGAACAATTCTATGCCAAGTTGGATAAACTAGAAGAAATGGATAAATTCCTAGAAATATAGAACCCACCAAGACTGAATCATGAATAAATAAAAAATATGGAGAGACCAATAATGAATAAAGGGATTGGAGCAGTAATCAAAAACCTCCCAACAAAGTAAAGCTCAGAAACTGATGGCTTCATGAGTGAATTCTACATCAAACATTTAAAGAAGAATTATATATCAGTTCTTCTCAAACTCTTCCCAAAAAATGAATATTAAATGGAATATTATTCAGTAATAAAAAGAAGGAAATCCTGCCATTTGGGAAAACATGGATGAACCTAGAAGACATTATACTAAGTGAAAGAAGCCAGACATAGAAAGACAAATACTGTATGATCTCTCTTATATGTGGAATCTAAAAATGTCGAACTCATAGAACCAGAGAATAAAACAGTAGTTGCCAAGAACTGAGGGAATGGAGGAAATTGAGAGATGTTTGTCAAGGGGTACAAACTTTCAATTATAAGATGAATAAGTTCTGGGGATCTAATGTACTGAATGGTGAGTATAGTTATTAATACTGTATTGTATATTTGAAATT